ATCAATAAAAAATGTTAAAAAAAAGAGTTTAAGATATTCCATTTCAATATGCTAAGTAAAAAGTTCGGCTGTTGGCCAAATTGTTTGATTGTAAACAAGAAAGGAAGACATAGGTAGTCTTCTGGCTTTATGTTTTATATGTTCATCCCTCACTTAATGAATGTACCATCATTATCAGGTTGGTCTTGTAAACAGAATTCATTTATTAAGAAGCCATTTGTTGAGTGGCCACTATATAGCAGCCATTCTGCGAGGGCCAGGGAGCCAGAGGGGACTGAGACAAGTTTCCTACTCTCAAGGAGACCGTCGTCTAGTGGGTGATGCAGAAATGTAATTGAGCAGCAGAATAAAAGGAGATCAGTGATAGAACAGTGGTAGATAGAAATTTCCAAGGGGTCACAGAGAATGGCGCAACTTAGTTTTAATCTAGAGAATTCAGAAAAAAGCTTATTGGAAGAGGAGAAATTTACAAATAATCACGTAGGAAGTGGGATGGATATTCCAGGTAAAGGAAGCAATATATGGGGAATAGAGAAGAGGATGGCACATGTGGTTGACTGCATACATATTTTTTAAGGCCAGAGGTTTTGGAGCACGAGAGTGAGTGGTCGAAAATGAGTCTGAAACAAAAAGCACTGGTAGAGCTTGAATATCTTTGTACATGACAATGAGAGCTTTGAAATGAATCTTGTAGGCTATGGGAGTAGCAAAGAGGTTCTCAATAGGAGAACGACATGATGAGATTATGACTTCAGAGTGATTACTGTGGCAACGCTGTGGAGGGTAGATTGGAAAGAGAGGAGCCCCAGGACTGGGGAATCAGTTGGTCTACTGCAGTAGTCTTCACGAGGAGTGATGAGGTCCTGCCTCGAGCAGTGTGGAAATAGAAAAAGCTACTCAGAATGTATACTTAGTACAGGGTGGTTGAGAACAGAGGCAATCTGTAGCAAGAGCTATAAAGATGGTCATATAATTTTGCTTATAATCTTACTCCTGGTTATTAAAGACAAATGATTCAGTGTATATGAATGAAAATTTACCTTATAGATGTGTTCTACATAACAATAAGTTATAAGGGAATTGTTTAATGTGTGTGTGTATTTATCCATATTTATAAGAAACACAGGTGGATATTTACATCGAAGTAAAAATAGTATTTATAATTATCACAACTATGCAAACATATGTATACCAATAGAGACTCATTGGAAAACATTAAAAATGAAAACTGGCAGAATGGTAAGATTATAGATGATATTCGTTATATTTGTTTTTTTCCCCAAATAAAGTTCATGTCAGGTAACTTTTCAAAATCTTTTTAAAAGGTATAGATTAAGTTATAATAAAGCAAACATACATATAGACAAACTCAAAACACTCTTATTTAAATGTTTCTTAGGTACCTGGGAAGGGTGGTGTAAAGGTCACTTGAATGAGGATAGAGGAAAGGAATGAGAAAAAAAAAAGAAGAAGAAGGCCAGGGAGTGAGAAGCTCAGGGTGGCAGCAGTACCCTTTCTCCCTAGGGAGTCACTGAGGATGGCATCAGGTATTAAGGGTGCATGATCCACGGTGGTGGAAGCCTCATGTCACAGCAGCTGTCACATGAGGCAGGTGGGGGAGCTGGACCACAGTGACCACCCCACCTCATTTCCTTTACACTGTTCCCAGCCTGGGCCATGACACTGACATGGCCTTGGAGCATAGCTGAAGTGGAAGGTTTGAGTTTAAACTGGTAGCGGGAGATGAGACAACCACATCTCTTTTGTGCACACATTTGGTTTCACTGACACGTTAACCACAGGAGGAGGAGAAAAGGCCACAAGGTGTGGGGTTAGTATGAGTGGGGACAAAGGAACTTTTTTTTCAGAGACTAAAAGGCATCGGTATTGCACAGACTTTCCATGATTCCACACCAACCTTGAAAGCCCCCTCTCACCACAGGAAGTGTGCTGACTACTGGAGGAATAAAAGAGACTCGAAGGAGCAGTTCCTCATCCTCTGTCTGCACAGCTCAGCAGGACCTCAGCCATGAGACTTCTCATCCTGGCCTTCCTCAGCCTCTGCTGTCTCGCTGCTTATACTGTGGAAGGTAAGTCAAAAGGTTATCTATGAGATAAGGACCAGATAGTCATGGAGGCAGGTGGCCACACCTTTTGGTTTTGACTCAGGGTTTGACTGGAGTAAACTGCTTTCTCCAAGCTAAGCCTCAGGTTTCCCATGTGCAAAAGGGGAATAATTTGCCTCTAGAGGATTGTGTAGATTTTAAAGATAGAACTTGGTTAGAATCTGGGCTCCTATTTTTCACAACTGGGTGATGTAGGGTAAATTTCTGAACCACTTTGGGCTTACGCTTACTTGTCTATAAGATAAATGTAATACGTTTACATAAATATGTTTATATATGTCAATGTAAACTGATATAATATAATCTGGGATTAAAATGGAATAAACCTTATGACCACTTATCAGATTTCCTCACAAGTCATAATTTCTTGATTAATGTTCGCTGTGGAATGGTGATGATGATTATACATGCCTTTGAAGCTTTTGCCTATCTAATATTGACCTTGATAAATTCTCAAAAATTTTTATTTTTGTTTGTCTGGTTGGTTCTCTTCATCAGGTGTGGGGAGTGAAGTTCTTGAAAAGACCATCTGTGTGAGCCTCACCACCCGGCGACTGCCAGTTAAGAACATCAAGACCTACACCATCAAGGAGGGCTCCATGAAGGCAGTGATGTAAGTTTCTCTCCCCAAACCTGAGCTTGGTGGAACATGGTATAGAAATGCTGCCCTCGTCAGGAAAAAACAAAAGTCAACAAGGGGGAAGACCTCAACTGAACCAACAGTCCTTTTGCTTTTCCAAATTAACCATGTCTTTACGTAGCCCCAAACAATGATTATGACCGAAAAAAAAAAAAGGCAACCAAGTGAAGAATGCCATCCTCCTTTCTGATTTATCTTAGTGGAATAATCTGACTGAGAACTAAATGAATAATGTGCTCAGTCTTGAGGATTAGGTTTAGAGATGGCTGGTTGAGATCAGGATTTGACCATAAAGTTACACTGGTGTGGGCTGCTTCCCTTCCCTTCCCTTCCCTTCCTTCCCTTCCCTTCCCTTCCCTTCCCTTCCCTCCCTTGCCTTCCCTTCCCTTCCCTTCCCTTCCCTTCCCTTCCCTTCTCTTCCTTTATGGTGTGTTGGAGTAACATAGAGCACCACATTTTTTTATCAGTTTCCATATCTCAAGAAATAGCATCAACAAGTAGCCTACATGGTACCATTATTTTTCCAGGATCTCATTGTCAGAATAGCAACTCTTCCCAACACACAATTGCAACTTTATCCAAAGGAATTACAATAAGGAAATCACCATTTTTCCAGAAAGTAAGATGAATGTGTTTAGATTTGAAAAGGAAGATGGATATGTAATAATTGGACTAGGTGACTCCAAATGTCCAGTTTAATTACATCATTTCGTAGCTACGATGAGAAAAGGGGTCTGCAAATTATGGTGAACAAGGGAGCAGGGTATTACCTGGAGCTATTTCTTCTTTATGATAAAATAGATTGCAGAAGCAAAGTTTCCATTTATGGTCTCATGGATCTGAAAGACTATTTTGTCCAGTAATTTCTGCACAAGATCTCTTTATATATGATCTTAACTGTGGGTCCCAAGGCTTTGAGGATGTGACTAACTTTGTCTATCTTTTCCTTGTTTTGCAGATTTTTTACCAAACGTGGCCTTAAAGTCTGTGCTGATCCACATGTTGAATGGGTGAAAAAAGCAGTCCATACAATAGACAAGTCCACCAGAAGAAATGTGAACCAGACCAAGCCCACAGGAACCCAACAGTCCACCAATACAGCTGTGACCATGACTGGGCAGTGACCCTTTGGCACCTTGTCCCCTTGCTAGCCAGCCAGCTCCTTCCTCTTTAAAGTTCATGGACTACTTACATTATATTCACCTTTTATAAAAGTGCTACATGAATCAAATATTTTCTTGTATTTTCATTTTTTATGTCTTTCATATTCATTTGGATGCTTTAATTAATAAATATTTATTATTATGAAGAGCCCCAAAGTTTATTCATTACATATTGGGGAAAGTAATACATCATTTATGTTTTATTTCTGTCCTAACTGTACCTCCTTTTGACGGTATCCATGATGGGAGAAATTCTGGTCAATGTTTATCAGGGATGAAAGCATTATTCACACTCTTAGGTTCGAGTGGGAAATGGTTCTCCACACATGAGTCGTAAGTGACAATGACAATTTAAGATCTATTTTAACCTGTCTTCGTAATGGAGTTCTATTTATGGAGTATGGGAGAAAATGATCCAGCAGTTACTGGGTTCCCATTCTGATGGCTCACTACTCAGAAAGCAGCTTCACTCAAGTGTGATCTTGAGCAAATTCTTACACCTCTGCATTTCATTCGATCTTCTATAAAGAAGGAAAGAAATAAAGACATGGCTTGTCAGTTCTTTCACTTGTCAAGGTAGCATAGGTTAGACTTTGGATGAAAAGTTACTTTATTCAAACAAAAATCAATTCTCCTGCAATTGGTCAATGATCTCACTGCTTTTCTGTGATTTCCATAATCGACACTACTCTAGTTATCACACAAGTCATTCTTTTTTTGCCAGTAAATTTTAACACTCCAAACACTGTCACTTGGAACATTTTTTGAATGTGATCACAATTTGCAGTAAAGTTTTAATTAACGTTACTTCATCTGATCAGTAAACACCCCAATCTCACGCTTCCTTGTATTCTCATTAAATTACTAATTTAATTCTTGTTTATGGCTCTACTATCCAATAGCTGATGATGTATACATCTAATTTTATCTGACTTTAAATAGTTAAGAACTGACCAGGCATTGAGAGCTTCAAAGGAAGAGAAAGGACTGTTTACTAGTCCTAAGGGAACACCTAGCAATGACAAGTATTTTCAGAGGGTAGCTGGGGGCAGCTTGTTGGAATCAGCTCACTTCTAGTCATCCAACTAGTGACCCAGAGAGGAAACCATTAAAACGCTGCCTCCTAGTAAAAGGTGGGGTCATCTATCCTTTCTCTTTGTTATTTGCCCACAATAATGTTCAAAGCTGGTCTTAAAGAAAACAGTAAGAAGAAAACACTTGTTTTATTAGGCGTAAAAGATAGCAAAATTATAGAAAATAAAAGGAAATTTCCTGGTTGAACATGTATTTGTGTTTCCCAGATGTCTTCCAAACCTTAGAGGTTTTCATGAGATCATAATAATATACGTGGAAGAATTTGGGTGTATATATATATATACACCCAAAATTTATATATATATATATATATATACACCCAAATATCTATCTATCTGTCTCTTGTTATCACACTATCTAAAGTGGTTATGTGATATTAAGAGGTTTCAACCAAACAGTGCATATGACTTTTAACTAATTGACTGGATATTTTGAATCATTTAGGTAGAACTTGAGTCTACTAATTGTAACTGTGGTTTACTGGATTTTAATCAATCCAAAGAAATAATCTAAGAAGAGATCTCAGAATTTTAATTTTTTTTTAATGGCAGTGACCCTCTCTTTTGTGCTCCTGTGACATCTTGTACTTAACTTTAACCTACAACTTACCAATTTATATTGAGATTGCTCATTTGCCTGTCTTTGCTCCCCAACCCCAGTCCTGCAATTAGTCCAGAAACTGATTGTGTGTATTATTCACCCTGGGTCCCCACTGCCCAGTGAATTAGTATTTGTTGGATGAATGGGAGCAATAACATATATTACATTATTTCCTTCATTCTATTCTTTCATGTTTCTAAAATTATATATAACACAAAATAAACTATTAAAAGGGGGTTTGATTCAGCAAACATTTTGGGTACTTGATATAAGACAGGCACTGTGTCAAGCTTAATATATATCGAGATAAGTTAAAACACCATTTCTGTTCCCCAGGAACTCACGGTCTAGCAGGTGAGACTATAAACGCAAGAAAAGCAATTGCAGTACAGGATTTGGAACAGGTAATAATATTGGCGTGTTCAATAAATAGAAGTAACATGGAGAAGGGAATAATTATCTTGAGGATGTTCTCTCAAAATGTTTCTGAATTTGTATATAATTATGAATTACTATTAATAATATCTAGACGTACCCTTAGTTGGTTCGAAGAAAGATGCTGTCACATACTTCCCTCTTCACTAGGCAATTCTTCCACTGTGATTATACTATTTCTAGAGTAGATATTTGATGTAACAATACAGTGAGACTAAAACTGTCACTGCATTTTAGCTGGTGAGAAAACTGAGCCACAGAGAGACTGACAGTGTTGGCTAAGAGCACATGGTAGTTGAGAAACTGAGCCTGATCTCAGACAGTGACTCTCTGTGATATCCCAGCCTCGGGAAGGAAGGCGACAGTGTACGAGTGTTTTTTTTCATTGCAGTATAGTTGATTTACAACGTTGTGCCTATGAGTCTTCTTAGAATGGGTTATGACGTAAGTGCTCTCCGAGCACAGCCACATCACCTCCTGAATCTCAGATTTTTAAAGACGAGTTAGAAGCATTTGAAGACTATAGCAAGTATGCCACATTTGATTTTTTTCTATGCAATTATTTAAAAAATGTTTTTATTTCATCAAAGTAATACATGAACCTGGTCAAAAGTTTAAAGAGCACAAAAGGGATGCTAATGAAAATGGATAACCCCCTGCCCTGTTCTTTCCCTTTTCTCATCTCCCACCTCACAGACAACTACTTTTAACTCTCTGAACTGATGGTTCTTCTGAATATCATCAATATCTTGTCTCCACTATTTCCCAGGTTATCAATTTTGGACATTGTCTGTGGCTGCTTCTATGATATATGAGGATTTATTTCCCTTCTTCCAAACTCTCCATATATTTATGTTGATATTTTGATTAGTTATGCTTATACATTTATGTAACATACCCCATCATTTGGTTCTTATTCTGTCCACTGTGGACTGTATTTCTTGACTTTCCATTTTGTAAGATCTTTCTGCTGTCAATAGCAAATATTTAAATCGTTTTTCTTATGTAAACAGCACTCTGTTATTGCTTTGCAAAGGCTAAGTCATTTAACCACATTACAGACTTCAATTAAAGACAAAACAATGGGGACATAGAAAGGCTGTATCGGTCTGTGAGGGGTAGAGTTCAGATCTGAACCCATGGAAGCCTGGCTCCAAGTTCACGCTCTTGATGACTAGGCCATGTTGTCTTCCTCTCTTCAGAAGCCAGTTCCCTGAAGACCAAACCGTATGTAAAGAACCCTTGAAAAGACTACTCAGACCTACATAATGTTTTCATTTAACCAACTTAGTTAATTGATTAGTTTATTCACTCAATTAGTATACACTTGTTGAAGTCTACTATGGCCTTGGAGCTGTAACTGTGAGCAGAACAAAGTCCCTGCTTTCACAGAGCTTACATTCTGGTAAGACGTGCCTTCCACCTTCCATTTCTTTCCCCATGGTTGTTTTTGTTTGTTTGTTTGTTAGTTTTACCTACTCATTCAACCAACAGGTGCATATTGTGTGCCTAATGTAGTCCAGACACTTTGCTGGGCACTGAAACTCATGGTGAAACCAGACACAGCCCTTCCCTTCAAGGGCCTTACACAACTAAGCAGGCTGTTTCAGCAACAGAGTGACGTGTGATGACAGGGGAAGCAGGGGGTGTGAAGTTTGAATAAGCAGGAGCAAATCTGTCCAGGTTGCAGCGTATGGAGAGGTTCAGGACAGGATTCCCCTTTATAACTTGAGACATGAAGGATGATTCAGACTTATCCAGGGGGGGTTAGTGCATTCCAGGTAAAGGAATAAGCACCACATGAAAAGGCTTGCAGGTAAGAGAAGTCTGGAAGCATTAAGGAAACTAAAGTAGTTTAATATGACTGAGGGACAAAGTGACGGTTAGACAGCAAAGGGAGTGCAGGCAAAAGGTGAGGTTACAGAGATGGAGGTGATATCACCAAGGGCTTTACCTGCCAGATCAAGGAGTGTGTACTCCATCCTAAAGGTCTTGGGGAATGACACTGGCTGCCAGGTGGAAAATGGAGTGCCAAGGGGAAAATGGGAGCTGGGGAGCCAATTGGGAAGTGGCTCTGGGACTGGTGATTTCTGACTTGGCCCGGCATGCTGTGACACATTTTCCCTTTTCCTCTTGGGTTATTTTCTGCTTAGCTGGGAGCATATTAGCGATGCACGATTGCCTAACTCTGGCAGTGTGGCTCGGCTGTGCATGCCAAAGCCTCAAGCCAGCAGATCCCATCGCTGCTTCTTTGGCTGTGGGGGGCCATGGTTGGGATGGGAAAAAAATCATCATATTTATGGAAATTGCCATATTGTCTGCTTTTTCAATTGGCTGAGCCAAGATTGGATCTGTGGGACCAAAATGGAAGCCAGCCACTGAGAGGAAGGAGAAGGCAGGGCCGAGAAGCCATCAGCTTGAAATCAGTGGTGTTTTAGAGATCCACAGACTGGCTGTTTTCAGATTTATTCAGTTTCCCAAGTATCTGTCGAGCACCTGTGGGGTACAACCAGCACAGGATCCCGTCTGCTGTCATGAAGCCCGTGATTCCGTGGGGAGAGAGCACAGCCACCAAAGCCATTCCCACCTGGATGTTCCAAACAGCTCAGCGCCGGGCTCGCCTCCTCCCAGAGACCGTCCTGATGTCCCCAGCTCAGGTGATGCCCTTCTCAGGGGCCCACTCAACCCCTGTCACTTCTGTTATTGTTCATGCTGCCCTGCAATACCAATTTATTTTTTATTTTCTGTCTTACTTAGTAGTCAGGATAGGGACTGCGAATGTGACCTCTATGTACCTAGTACCAGGCATGATGCTGGCGACATCACAGTCTTCCGATAAATTTTTGTGGAATATATTCTACATTATACGTATCTCTACTCTAGCAGTTATAGGCATGCAGAGAGAATGTATCGATCTGCCCTGGGGAAGGTAGGGAAAGCTCTGATGAAGAGGTGATATAAAAACTGTCCCTTTAAACTTGAGGAGTTGCCAGGAAGGGGAGTGAGGGGCGGGTGC